GGGGCACTGTCAGGCAGCCCGGTCCCTCATGGGCCCTGCCACTAAGGCCCTGGGACGCCCGCCTGTGACATTTGCCAGCCCTCATCTGTTCCCCGGGCCGAAATCTCAGAGGGCAGAGGCTGCCCCCCCTGGAAACCAGTCCCAGAACATCAGGGCCGCGCGCGCTGTGGGCTGCAGGCCAGGGCGCGGAGGGGCCAAACAGGGCAGCGCCGGGAGCTTTTGCACAAGGCACCCCTCTGCCAGCCTCACGGACCAGCCATGCCAGTCCCGTGAAGCAGGTGTGCTGGCCCACAGCAGCGCTCTGCACAGCAGCCCCAGCCTGGAAACACGCGAATGTCCACTGTCGGGGCAGCTGCACAGTTCAGATCCCCAGGAATGCAGGGCCCCTTCCCCGGAGGCCAAGGCCAGTGTCCCACCCACACCCAGTCCAGGCTTATGCTTCCCCCGGGTCTGCCGCCTAAGCAGCCCTGTCCCTGATCTCTGTCTCAGAGGCTGCTCCCGGCCCAGCTCCCCACGCCCGTCAGCAGGACCTAAACTACCACAAATGCACGGCATGGAATAATGTGCCAGTGAAAACCAATTACTGCTGCCTGCACCCACGTGGATAAACCTCACCGCCGTGAGGCTGATGTAAGGGAAGACCCAAGAGCACCGCGTGCGGCCACTCATAGGAGGTGCAGGCAAAACCCATCCTTGGTGTTCGAAGCAGGACAAGGCTCCCTTTGGGAGTTGCTGATTGGCAGGGACACGGGAAGCCTGTGGGGAGCTGGAAACGTCCTGCACCTTGATCATGGTCACACCGGTGCGTAGACGCACAAACAAATCCTTCCAGTCGGACCCTCACATCATACATAGATCGCGTCTTCGTGTTTTGCTGGCTAAGCCCTTCCAGCCCTAACAGTGTCACTCTGGCAGAGCACCCCCACTGCCTGGGACAGGACCGGCTCTGGAGGCTGGAGGGCTTGACCAGCACTGCCGCCCGGTGGCCGGCAGCGGAACCGACCACGGCCTAGTGCCCTGGAGGGAACGGGCCTCAAAGGCTCCGCCAGGACTGCACCTGTGCCCTAGGCGCCGGCCTCAGCCACCCAGCCAGCCTGCTCCACCAGCACCCAACAACTCTGGGGGTCCAGCAAGCCCTCTGGGCCAATAGCTGCAGCCCCCAGGGGGCCTTGGGGATGGGAGGGAGGAGAGAGAGGCCAGCCTGTAGCACAATACCAGCCCAGAGTTTTAAATAGGTGTGCACTGTCACCTCCGCCCTGTCGCAGTCCTCCTGGGTCCTGATTCTGCCGGGCGCCTCCACGTCTTTCCGCCCTCCTGGTTCTGCCCCGCCATCACGGGAGCGCCCACTGGGCATGAATGGGGAGCCTGCCAGAGAGGCGAGCTGGAGGAGAGAGGCACAGCTTCCAGGCCTGGCGTGGCTGCTCATGCCCCTGCGTGAGGGAAGGGTCAAGGGAAAGGTGAACGCTCTCTTCTTTTATTTTATTGTTTTCCTTTTCCCCGTGCCCTCTCACCCCATACACAATTGTCAGGGTGTCTGTCCTGGGAAGACACCTGGTACCTGCCCTGGTGG